GTACTTGATGTATGGCAAGGGTGGCCAACCTTTTTTACAGATGTGTTTGTAAATGGGCATGAATTTTTTGGCAGGTTACTGTCCTATTACCTCCTACATCCGGTTTAAATTAGTAGTTAAAGATAAATTAAATAACATTAAAAGTAAACAAAGATGATAAAAACATTAAAATATGTTGTTAGATGGATGTAAAAACAAATATTAAATAAACCATTAGCATTAGTTTGAAAGTGACAAACTATTAAAAACATTTTTTATTGAAAGGAGAATCAAAATTTGAAATTCTAATTAAAAAAACAAAGAATCTGAATTTAAAATACACTCAATGTGGTTTCTGAACTTGCTTTTCAGTTAACAGTTTCTGAATATTAGGATTGATTTTTGAGATTGATAACAGAAGCAGCCCACACGAGTGTCTGTCATTACAGATCAGTACTTACATGTATTTTTAATAAAGCTCTTTGCTGAAAATGTCTGCTCACAAACACGTGTAACTGAATCTGCACACAATATGCACAGCAAGATCATGCATTTCTGAGTAGACAATCTTAGGATCAAATGTCCAGAAGGCTTTCAAATAAGGAAAGTCAGTGATTTGCATGACTCTCAACATTTTGGGAAGTCATAACTTTATTTAAATTGATTTATTTTGTATGTATTTATTAAAGTAGTTATTAACCCTGTTTGTTTTCTAAATTTATGCTAATGTTAATTTAAAAAAAAGTTGACAAGGAAGAGCCAATTTTAAGGATTTTGTATTGTTCCTTTTCTTAATTGATTTTTTTTTTTTTTTTTGCTCCATCGCCATGTGGGCCATTTCAAATGCAACTGTGGGCTGTTTTGTGGCCTAAGGTCCTTGGGTTGGCTATCTCTGATGTATGCTATTACTTTTTTGAGGATATTGAAGTTATGCAGAAATTGCAGTTGTTTTTGAATTTATCATATCACTTGAAATTTACATCTTATTAAAGAACATAATTCATTGCAAATTTTTTGAAAGCTCTAACAAATATCACAGATTTGTATATTTTCTGTAGTCAATTTTTTCCAAATGTTGAAACCTTTAATTTTTTTTCTATAAACCAGTACTATTTGTTTTAGATCTGCTGGCCATTTTTTGATCCAAGCTAATAGGTCATGATATTAAAATTTTTGAGACACATATAAATAACATATGCTTAAAATTATATTATTTTTTTTTTACATTTTTTTTATTGACAACTCAACTGTTCATGTATTAAGAATAGAAATATAAAATGAGATGCAAATAAGAATAAAAATATATTTTCATTTTGATCTTTACTTAGTTGTCACTGATTGTATTCACTAAATTTAGCCATTGTCGCTCTAAGTACAGTACTTTATTTTCAGATATTTCCTTCACAAACAATTCTTCTTTGATTTTCATATGTTCCAGACAAATGAAAAGTGACAAAGAGTAATATCTGTATATGTATACTGTTTACCTATGTAATAGGTAAACAGTATATGTATACTGTTTACCTATTACATAGGTAAACAGTATACATATACAGATATTACTCTTTGTCAGATATATACAGATATTGATATCCTAAACACAAAAAAAGATGAGTTTTTACATCACATGATGTCAGAGAACAGAACCTCTGACAACTTGTCTATTAACTAAACTATTTCTTTAGATTGTGGAATAATTTCATAATCAGTGAATTCATTAACAAGAATTTTGCCAATGTCTTAAACTTAAGTGTAAGACTCTTCTGAAGAACTTGCATTAACTTTCTCTGCATTCTTCTCCCTATTTCTTGTTAATTTTTGCATTTTAATTACAAACTTGGAAACTACTTCCAGGGATTCTGAAAATATTTGGACTAGATGTACCAGTTTCCTTATGACTTTTGGAATACAGGAAAAAGTGAATGCTGTATATACCAAATTATTTGAGTTGTTACTAACAGAAGACATTTTTTGTGCAACTGGAATGCATCAAGTATCCTCTAGTTTCAAGCTTTTTATCATCTGTGTTAATTTTTCTTATTAAAAAAAATTATAAAAGTTAATAAAATTAACACAGAATATACGATTATTAAAAATACTTTTTTATAAATACAGTACCTGCTTAATAATCTCAAAATTATTGCTATAAAATAGAGGCCTCTAATAGGTACCACACCTATGAATATATGAGGTACCAGACGGAAGCCGCTTTGAAGGTCCGAAGGTGACCACTCTATTGAGAAATAAAGAGCTCCATTTTCAGACACAAATGGTGAGAATTAAATGTCCTGATTGAACAATAAAAGTTTTTATTAAAACAATAGAAAAGACTAAAGTTGAGGGAAATGTAGCTGGAGAGGAGTTGTATTTAGTCACAAAACTGACCTCTCCCATGCCCTCCGATCGGTTTCAAATTGTCACCAGGTGACGAGTAGAGACCAATGAAAAGGTGGCTTAGAGGAAAAACTTATAAAACTGCATGATTCAAGGACATGATGTTCTTGGTTCGTAGTGTTCTTTTGGATTTTTGTGATCTGGCCATTCACCCACAAAAGCTTGCTCGATGTCTGGGGACTTGTCTTCACTCTCCCATGCCGTCAAGATTCTCCCAGGTTCACCTAGTCACAAGAAGACATCTCTCCAAGTTGTGCTGTGCAACCCGGTGCTGTCACTCTTCACACCACCATTGCTGGAAGAAGAAAAATGACAGTCAGAACATTTGGACTTTTTGTACAGACTTGTGTCCCACCTATTGAGAGGTGTTATGCCTTATTATAGGAATTGTTGTAAGAGAAATTTTTATATTTATTAAACACTTTACGATGGAAAACCTGCCTCAGTAAGTCTTTTCACTCCCACATGACAGTGTTGACTGCTCGATTGTCCTGACATTTCCACCCCAGTTGACTAACCTCACAAATAGTTGGTAGGAGGGCAATGTTTGTAAAGTTCTTTTGGTAAAATTTTTATTTGTTGAGGAGCTCTCAAAAAAATTTTTAACTATTGATTTGCTATTGATTTGTCCACAGTTCAAAATATGGACAGTTAATAAATTGTGTGATTGTGGATAATTAGCTCTCTCCAATTGTGAACAGGAAATGAGATGTGGTTTGTAACCCTTTTTCTTGTCAAGCTTACTGACTAAGTGTCTTTATATACCTTCCTTTAAAATTAGTTGTTTTGTTTATGCTAATCCAAATATAGGAATCTACTATATACATGTATTGTCAATAATCTGTAAGAACACAAAGAAGGTTAAGAGAGCACAACTATATAAAGGAAATTTTAAGTTTCAACTTTTTCAAAGTACATTCTAAGGCATCCCTTTCTTAGCATGGATTTTCAAGAAACCAGTCTAGTACACCACTTTTCTAAGAATTGTTTTGAAAGCAAATGGTATGTTGGCAGCATCCTTATGTGATATTTGCCTAACAAAACATTTGAGAAGGGGGAAAAAGTCACATTTCCAGCATGAATAGTTGTTATTATGCTGTTTAAGCTTATAGAATATGCTACAAGAAATCTGTATGTGTGATTAAATAAATTATCTAGGTAACTCAAAATGGAATATTGATACTGAGGTCTCAACTTGTTTACCTTGTTCTTGCATACTTGGAAAAATTATTTTTCATTGATTGTGCATACACCTTCATTGAAAATTTTTATCCATTCTCTTAATTTGGTCGGAAAGTTGAGGGAAATAAGAGTAAACTGGACACATTACTGTTACACAAGCTATTAATAAAATGTAAGAAACTCACAAAAATGTTGTAACCAGTTATCGTGTAAAGTAACTGATTGCAATTCCTAATTAACTTAATTTATTATAACTAACTTACAAATTATCTGAAAAGTAATTTAATTAAATTACAGATTTGTTGCTTAAAAAGTGCTTTAATTAATATTGCAATTTAATTGATATCACTTTTATTTCACCAAAATCACCACTGGTCAAGATAATAGATTTTTTTTTATCTCTCACCTTTGTAAAATTTCATGTCAAATTGAAGAAATAGTAAAAAATATTTCTAAAATACTTACAATAGTTATGATGTGTCATAACAACTTCACTCAAAAAGAAAGATGAAGAGAAATAATTTTTCAGAATGGAGAATGTATGTTTACACTGTTTCCATGAGGATTGTCAGTCAACTGAATTATATGTAACAAATCACAGTGTGAAATTTTAAAATTTTATAACAGTTTATTCTTTAAATTCAAGTTGAAGTATTTACAGATGAAATTTGTATCACTGAATGTGAATTGAATCAGTTGAATAGTTTCTAAATGTTAATAACAGATCAGAAATATAATTTAAAATTCAAATTATAAGTGAGCAAAATTTATTGAGGATTTAAACTTATAAATAACAACTCCTCAAAGCCCGAATAGTATATAATAAATTACCAAACGATCGCCTAAATATCGGGCTATAATAATCGGTCTATCGCCTACCTCTAATGTCAAATTACTTTATTCCAAATCATTTAATTAGCCATATTATAGCCCGAGATTTAGGCAATCATTTGGTAATTTATTTAAACTTATATTATAAGTGTATCTTTGAGATGATTAAATCTGTAAATATAAAAAGTTCAAATATGTAAAAATATGTAGTAAATATTTAACTTCATAAATAAGGTTTTATGACTTATGTATTTGTTAAAATATGGCATATTGAAATGATTTTTTAAATTCAGTTTTGACTGTTATATATGTTATTTTAAAATTAAAAATATACATGTGAATATAACTTGTAATTACTTGAAAATTTAAGTAATAATTATTAACCTTGATAATTGGTTTAAATAAAAAACATATCTGTTTTAAGAAAATGATTTTAAAATATTTTACATTTGTCTTTCTTAATTTGAAATATGTATAATGCTATTTTCTTTGGGTAGTTCTGACTTATTATAAAACAATTGGGTAAATTAGTGTATTTCTTTTACAATAATAATAATTTGTATTTTTCCACTTTATTTGATACTTTTTTAATTTATTTAAATTTCAAATTTTAGTGTTTGAAAGGTTCAGAATTTGTTGGTACTGTATTAATGTGTGGAGGTACAAACTGGGATTTAATTGGTAGAAAAGAGCTGCCTAAAAATGGTAAGCTGCTATTAAAAAATTTTTAATAATAGTCTTCAATATTTTTCTAATAAAAATATGAAAGTTATTTTTATTATTATAATTAATAACATTCGGATATTTTGTTGTTAATTGATTTATTTTCTTAACAGTCAATTTTCAGAGAACATGATTTGTCAAGTGTACTTCAATAAGTAACTAATTTAAAAAATTAATGGCTTTCAGAAGATCAATAATGAAATTTAGTGGTGATAATTCTCTAATTTATGTAAAATTAATATATATGAAAAAAATTTATTTAATCCTTTCACTTCCAACATCACTTGTAGTGTAAGGTTATCTTGTAATGGCAATGCCAAGGTCCTGCCTGTCTTGTGCTCATTGGATTAATTAATTTTGACAAGAATTATGGCAATCTAGGTACTGCTATTACTTGTAACAACCTTGAGAATAATAGTATCTTGATTCTGGCAATGAAAGATTAAATTTTATTAGTATGCTTATATAATTTATGTGCAAGCCAAAAGTATGAACATTAAGAGTATGATTCAGAACTTTTGAATAAATTAATTCTTGCAAAATATAAATAAATTTTTATTAATTGCTTAAGTTAACATTTTGGGATAAATTTAAATAGAAATTTTAACATTTATTTTGAATCATTATAATTAATTACAATCTAGAATTACCAAAGATATATATACTTAGTGTATAATTCAGGCTTGGTTTTATATGTGACTCTTTATTCTAATAAACAGTGTAGTTGAAAGATGAAAAGAGTTAGACAGTGCCTCTAATAGTAAGTGTGCGGTTTATTGGAAGAAGATAAGTCTTGTAAATGGAAAAATTGCATACACTGTTCAGCATTATCATTCTTAGCATATGTTGAAATAAAGCGTATGTGTGTTTTGAGTATTACATTGTTGTTTAATTAATAATGCAGATTTATTATATTAATAGTTGCCCTCAAATAATAGTCTCACCTAATTCCCAAAGAACGGAAATGATAGTTGCCCTCTAATAATAAGTGCACTCTAATGAACAGCATACTGCAATATGAAAAAGGTTATAGATAGTGTGCTATTAGAATAAATATGGTATTAGTAAATCTGGCTTTATCATTATTATTTGATTATTATTGAATTATAGCTTTGTTAATTAAATTTAATGATGATATGTAATTTTGACTGAAAATAGGAGATTAAGTTGAATCCTTGTATTAAATTAAATAATTAGAATTAATTAATTTAGAATAATATAGAATAAAAGATTGATCTGGAGCAGGACTCAAACCTGTAATTTCTGCTTATTATGCAGATGCATTGTCAATTTTGCTATCAGGAGCTGCATACAATCTTATCTTCCAGAGTAGTTAATTTAGAAGATAGCTTTGTCTGGATTTATAAAGTACCCCTCACAATAATTCTTACATCCAGCATTATTATTAGGTAACCAAAAAAGTTCTGTCGTTTTTTGTGAAACTACAAAGTTTAAAGAATGTTACACGCAATACACAATAGATGGCACTAAAATTCCAGCAATATGTTAATAAGATGAGTTAGCATTAAATTTTGATTAAGAGATAGCCTTTCTGCTTCTCTTTATATATTATAAAAATTGACTTGAAGATGAGTACTACAAAGTCTATAATTCGTGCTTGTATGTTGTATGAGTTTAAACTTTGAACAAATGCTGTGCAAACAGCTAAAAAATATGCCAGGCTTTCCAACAAGGTTCTGTCTGCACTTGCACCACCCAAAGGTGGTTTAGAAAATCTTCTTCTGGTGATAAGTCACTTAAAGATGCGCCACAAGAAGGGCAGCCATATGTCACTAATAATAATGAATTACAGGCTGCAATCGAAAAAGATTCCACTCAAACTTGTCAGATGTTAGCACAAAAGTTCTCCATAAGTGATGAAACTGTCCATTTACATTTGCATAGTCTTGGGAAATTTTACAAGCTCAGCAAATGGATACCTCATCAATTGATACCTGTCAATATTGTGCTTATGGTGGACTGCAAATGGAATTGTTCACCATGAACTTATACCATCTGGCCAGACTATTACTGCTAACGTCTACAGTGACCAACTACGTCAAGTTCACCAATCACTTTTGAAAAAACAGCCAGCGTTAGTGAATCGTAAAGGCATTCTTTTCCTACACGATAATGCTATAGGCCTCATGTCACGCCTGTGACCTCTGACACAATTCAGACCCTTGAATGGGAACCTCTTTTGCACCCTCCTTATTCCCCTGACATTAGCCCTTCTGACCATCACCTATTTTTAAGCCTAGATAATCATCTGCGAAATCGACAGTTCAGAAATAGAGAGGCTATGGAAACGTAGTTACAGAAGTTTTTCAACTCTAAAGATCGTGACTTTTATAAAAATGGAATTTATAAGGTTGTTTCCTGTTGGGAAAAGGTTATTGAATGTGAGGGTGGTTATTTTGATGAATAAATTGTGTTATTTCCTATACATTTTTATGTTTGTTTTCTTTCAACAAAAAACGACAGAACTTTTTTGGTTACCTGATAATATATGTTAAATAACACAAACATATGCACACAAAAATGTATAATAACATATTAATTATTTCATTTTTTCTAAATTAATAGTTCATTTTTTGTGACAAAGAAGGTCCTGACTTTTCTGAAATTCTTTCCTTAAGCAAATGTTGGTAGCAGAAGATCACATCTAAAACGCCTCGTTTTGCTTTTGCACTCCTTTCAAAATCTAGATTATTCGCTACAATTTGATCAATGATTTCAGCTATCATTACCAAACTTTTATTAAGGAAATCTGTAGAGAAATTTTTTGGGTTCTTCATTTCCAGAATCTCTATTTTCCAGTTCTACATGGATTCCTTGTTCTGCCAGTTCTTGAAGGTCACCGTTGGTAAGACACTCACCAGAAACCACAGTAACTCCTCAATATCCTGTTTGTCTACATCTCCTAGTCCTGCTGTATTGATTAGATTGAGTTTGATGAACCTAACAATACAGTGATAGGTTAATCAAACTCAACCTCTTCTTGTTGAGAATTCTTGGATACCTTCAGCCATAACTTCTTCCACACTTTGTTCATGCATTTATCAGTTAATCCTTGCCAAGAGAAGTCAATATCACCTAAGGCATCCATGATGTTATATTTTTTCCAAAATTGCACCAAACAAACAGATTTAAAGAAAGTACACCTTTTTGCTGCCTTTTTCTGATTGGTTCATGTTCATAAATAATTGTATTATGTATGAATCAATAAAATGCCACAATAATTTAAATCAGCGTATATTTTGAGCTTTTTTTTTTAGGCTTTGAGCAGATGGCGTTATATCAAATCAGCATTAAGGAAGGCAGCATTAAGCGGGTTCTTATACTACGTTCGCACACAATCCACGACTCACTTCTATCTCAATTTATCTACAATCTCAATTGTGACTGTTGTCAGTCGAACATTGTGCTGTTCACACAAGTAGTCCACTTGAGAAGAACCCAGCTATTGCTCGTGATGATAAAACTGACATAACTACACGGCAAGTCACGAACACCAACAAACAAAATGGAACTTTTGGTTAGAAATAAATACAGTACTTTTTCTTGCTATATATCTAATAATAGACAGATGTCATCGTCTCACCAAATACAGTATCTTTTTTATTTCTCTGTTGATAGCCCAACACTTGTTCCACAGCCATCTTGTATTTTCTCGTGTGCATGGGATTGTGGTATCTCTCTTATGACTAGATCTAGTTTCAAGAACTCTCGAGTCGATTGCGATTGAACCTCGTTTCAGTCGAGATTGAAACGGTCAAGAGAGGTTGCATCATGGCATAGTCGCTGACCTTGGCCACAATCTACATTGAAATTCTCNGAAACTACAAAGTTTAAAGAATGTTACACGCAATACACAATAGATGGCACTAAAATTCCAGCAATATGTTAATAAGATGAGTTAGCATTAAATTTTGATTAAGAGATAGCCTTTCTGCTTCTCTTTATATATTATAAAAATTGACTTGAAGATGAGTACTACAAAGTCTATAATTCGTGCTTGTATGTTGTATGAGTTTAAACTTTGAACAAATGCTGTGCAAACAGCTAAAAAATATGCCAGGCTTTCCAACAAGGTTCTGTCTGCACTTGCACCACCCAAAGGTGGTTTAGAAAATCTTCTTCTGGTGATAAGTCACTTAAAGATGCGCCACAAGAAGGGCAGCCATATGTCACTAATAATAATGAATTACAGGCTGCAATCGAAAAAGATTCCACTCAAACTTGTCAGATGTTAGCACAAAAGTTCTCCATAAGTGATGAAACTGTCCATTTACATTTGCATAGTCTTGGGAAATTTTACAAGCTCAGCAAATGGATACCTCATCAATTGATACCTGTCAATATTGTGCTTATGGTGGACTGCAAATGGAATTGTTCACCATGAACTTATACCATCTGGCCAGACTATTACTGCTAACGTCTACAGTGACCAACTACGTCAAGTTCACCAATCACTTTTGAAAAAACAGCCAGCGTTAGTGAATCGTAAAGGCGTTCTTTTCCTACACGATAATGCTATAGGCCTCATGTCACGTGTGTGACCTCTGACACAATTCAGACCCTTGAATGGGAACCTCTTTTGCACCCTCCTTATTCCCCTGACATTAGCCCTTCTGACCATCACCTATTTTTAAGCCTAGATAATCATCTGCGAAATCGACAGTTCAGAAATAGAGAGGCTATGGAAACGTAGTTACAGAAGTTTTTCAACTCTAAAGATCGTGACTTTTATAAAAATGGAATTTATAAGGTTGTTTCCTGTTGGGAAAAGGTTATTGAATGTGAGGGTGGTTATTTTGATGAATAAATTGTATTATTTCCTATAATATTTTATGTTTGTTTTCTTTCAACCAAAAAACGACAGAACTTTTTTGGTTACCTGATAATTGTAAATTTCAAAAATTATGTTGTAAAATTCATTTTAAGAACATTATCAGAATGCCCATAAACTATGTGGAAGTATGTCCTCATAAATAGTGAGTTTATAGATAAACCAAACTAATTACAGTAATTTATTTGGTTACGGCAAAGTGATGTAGGCGATCTGCCAAGGGGATGCCTCCCAGGAGGAGTTTTATGGAAAATTGGCAATCTAGTTTGGTGTTACTAAATTGAAAAAACCCTGGAAAACTGCACATGGCCTCCCAGTGGTGATGTGCGAACTCACAACCAACTACCAGTGTAACAGTTTCAACTCCACACAGGTGAGTGCTATATGCTACTCATCAAAGTAATAATATAGTGTGGCTACTTTGTGCTATATCATTGTTGCAGTAACTATGTGAATATACTGTAATATTTGGTTTTTTTTAATTATATTCTTTTTTTAATACAAATTAGCATTTATTATGTAGATGCTTTGTCAAGTAACTCAAACTATGTTTCAAGTTACTTGCTGTAAATGCTTATGTAATTTTGCAGCAAATAACTTAAATTTTTAGTAATTCACTAAAAGCAAGAAGTAACACCACAAAATAATCAGTCTGCACAATGCTTTTTGCCTGTCTCAACAAGAGAAATATACATCTGATACCGTGAGTCTATTGGACTCATGTTATCCTTGTAAAGATGTATTTATTTTAATTTGTAATATTTTAGGTCAATGTATACAAAATGCATTATTAGAATAAAGTTTTGTAAACATAAATTGACAAATATATAAAGCAGCAAGTATTAACCTTAAATCAAAAAAGAAATATGAAGATTAATATGCTGAAGTGAGTCTGGCAGACTTATCTGGAAAAGGGTTAAATAAATAAAATTTCAATAATGATCATTTTTTAATATTTCTTGTGTAAATATTTTTAAAAATTTATTTTATATTTATAGCTAAAAAGAGTGGAGGAAGAAACCTTTGGGGTCCTCATCGATTAACTGCTCTTCAGGGAATCAGAGTACGAGTAGTGGCTTCAGGAGATTCTGCTTGCCATAGTGTTGTCATCACTGAACAAGGAAAAGTCATGACATGGGGTATGGATGTTTTATGTTTATTTTTATTATTATTATTATTATTATTTTAATACAAAAATACGGTGGCACTCGAGGCACCAACAGAGGTTATATAGGGTGATTTTTCTTGTATTGTAATGAAGGTAAGAGGTGCTTGATTTTTTCACATATATTTACAACAACTCTTTTAGAAAGCCTATATCTTTCAATAAACAGTTGGTCGTCAAACTTTCCAATAGGATTGGATCGATCGCAAATTAATCGTCGTGGAATTCGTGAGTAATTTCGTATTATTTCTTATCCATACACGTACTCTGCAAAGTAAGACAAATCTTCCTCCATGATTACCGATATTATAGCACTAATCGGACGAATTTGCTGGATTAGTTACTAATGGCAGATCACGTCTAATCTTACTCTTGGAACGCAAAATCAGTTAATCTGTATTTAAGATAGTCGTTAATCCTGCGATTTGTCTAATCGTCTGTCGATGAAATATGGGGGAAATAGTTAAAGTAGATTGTTCTATTATCTGTTTTCGTGGTTGGATGCATCGTAACGGAATGTCGATCTGGTCTCCAATATATTCTTGAAGAATCGCCTGGCATTCGTGGCTCAGCTCAGTCGGTTAGAGCATCGTGCTAATAACGCGAAGGCCGTGGGTTCGACCCCCACACGAGCCAATTCTTTTATTTTGCACATTCCTAACGTGGTGAACAGATTTCACTACTAACGTTGTTTTTTTCTTTTGTTTTCCGACGTAACGACGAATCCCTTGTCGGCTGAACTGCAGACTATTCATTTGGACACGCACCAACGCAGTCTTCAGAACGGATGTTTCGGTCAATGCGTACGACTTTCGCAGTAAACCAGAGTTTCGTTTCGTNGGTCAGAACAATTATAAAAGGTAAAGAAAAAATTCTCGAAGCTGTGAAAAATGCTCAATCTTTAAATTCAAGCATCATTCGTAAACGTCACGGTATTATCGCTGAGATGGAAACAATGTTAAAATTATGGTGTGATAATCAAGTAATTGTGAAAAATTGTATAATAATATAATATGTTATACATATGTATTATGTAAGATTTTATTAAACATTTTTTTCTAAATTATTGCTTTTTTTAGTCTCCGACCCCAATTAAAAATTATTTGTATGTATTTATATGAGAAATTATATCCCGACTTACGCGAATTCAACTTACGCGGTTATTGCTCGGTCCCACCTATCGCGTAAGTTTGGGGTATTACTGTATATAAATATTAAAATAAACGTGAAGATCAACAACACATCAACACACTATCTAGAACCTGTTACCAGTGTGTTTTGTGAATAATACAGTTTATCACTAATGTTTTCGAACTGTTAAATTTCACTGAGGAAGAACTATTTAACGGTTCAAAAACGTTAGTGATAAACAGTATTATTCATAAAACACACCAGTAACAGATTCTAGATAGAGTGTATATTAAAATAAGTCTCATTTTTCCTTTCCATACATATTTTTAACTTAGAACATTTTGTTTAGCTTATATCAGTTAAATTTCTGTTTTCATCAAAATTCCAACTTTTATTTAGAAAGATATTATATAAAACTCCTCTTTAATGATTTCTTGATTCTTATAAACTTGAATATAGCTTTAAATGAATTATTTTAAAAAAAAACTAACAAAATTTGAATTGAGTATAATAATTTAATCAAAATTCATTAAGTTTATTCATATTGTTGTTATAATGTTATAAAATGGAAATAACATTGTATCTCATTTTAACTAAAGTTAAAAATTACTACTTCACTACTAAGATATTGATGACAGAATGCCATGATTCTGAAAGCTTTTATTTCTTATGCAAAGATTGACAAAGTTTGCTATAACTTTATTATAGAATTCTGTTAATATTAGTTTTAGTTAGAATTTAATTAAATTGTACATAATAGAATATTGAATTTGGGCATCCAGAGCAACAGATGAAAGCAATTTCATTTGTTTTTGACTGATCTAGTTGCATATTAATGCTTTTAACAAATGTAATGATTACAAGAATTATCAATGAAGTGAAATTTTGAATAAAGATTACTCAAAAATTAATTTTTTTGAGTGAAGATGTTTTATAGTTTGTTTATATTTATTCTAATTAATATAAACATATTTCCATTCTAATTAATATAAACAATATTTCCATTATTTTGAAATTCTCATATTCAGTATATAAAATTTTAAGATGAGGATTTATACAGTAGGCTCTTACTAATCCAGCCTCCAGCCATGATATAAATGGAGTACTTTACATGGATGACCATCCAGTATGACATCCTTATTGAAACTTCACACAGGTATGTGAGGTTTCAGTTTCGATTTAGAAGTGTGGAAACTAGTCAACTTGACATGATGACCTTCAATTATGCCTTTAAAAAGAAAACTTGTTATGTTAGAATTCATGCAGAAATTGGAAATATTAGAGAAATTAAAGCAAGGTTGTTCCCAAAAATCCATCACCACTGAAAACAACATTGGACATGTCACTATGACATAAAGATGAAAGAGAATCAACTTTGGCAGTGCACTAGCCAAATGGACAGTAGTTGGAAAAGCAAAAAGTTGTGCAAAAAAGTAAGAATGATAAACTTGATGTGGCTGTTTACAAATGATTTATACAGCAATGCAGTAAAGGATACCCTGTCAGTGGCCTGATAATCAAAGAAAAAGCAGTGGAATTTAACAAAGAATTTAATTGCAGTAAATCGTTTACAGTAAGTGAGTGCTGGCTATCAAACTGAAAGAAAAGACATGGTGTATGGCTACTGACAGTCACTTGGAAAAGTTATTCAGCAAACAAAAAAAAAATGTGAAAGAATTTAAAAATAAGCTGGAGAACATATAAAGGAAGAAGAACTAACTCCTTCTGCAGTGTACAGTGTTGATGAGACAATTTTTCAAAATGCTCCCTTCAAAAACTTTTGTTGCCAGGAACGAAAAGGAAGCTTGTGGGTATAAATAACAAAAATAACGCATCACTCTGATATTATGTTGTAATGCAAGTGGAAGTCATAAACTTCTCTTCCTGGTGCTTGGAAAAGTCTAACAGCCACAATGTTTTCAGCACAAGATGAGTACACTACTGCGTAGATTATTGTGCTCAAAATGAAACATGGATGACTCAGAAATTTTATTTGTGGTTTCATGATAGATTCATACCCACTGTGAAGGAAGAATTGAATAAAAAGAAATTTCCATTAAAGTCATCTTCCTAATTGATAATGCTCCTGGTTATTCCTCTGACTTATCTCTGAAATTAAGTGATTATATATAAGCCTTCTTTCTCCCACCAAATGTGGCAGCTCTAATCCAATCTATGAATCAGGGAATTTTGGAATCAATTAAGTGTTGCTATCAACATGCAATTATTATCTCCCTATTGGATGAATGTGAAAATGATTCTACCAAAGGTGTGCTGAAGGCGTGGAAAGCAATCAACAATGTCCTATGCTTCTGCTGTTTGGAAAACATCATCAAAGCATGATGATGTTTTCCAAACAGCAGAAGCATAGGACATTGTGGAGAGTACAATAGTGAAGTGTTGGAAAAAGCATGGATTTTGATTGACACTGAGCTGGATTTTGCATTGAATTATAGTGAGTCAGTCAATTCAGAATCATTTTCAGATGCTGTGTTTGTTGATATGTTCCACAAGCTTCCAGGAGAAGTTGTTGATGATAATGTTACTAATGAGGTTGAATGAGGAATATTGTTTATGGCTTTAACATATGAAGAAATCATTAAAAGTGTGCAGGATGAAAGTGAGAGGAAGCAGACACAATAGGTAGAGACAATAAAGATTTTTCACACTACTGGTGCTGAAGCTGCTGACATTTTCCTGCAGTACACAATGAAACAACCAGATACATGCAGTACCAATGTAATGCTCATAAAACAATTGTATGATAAAGTGTGCCATCAATGAGCATCTAAATGAAAACAAAAATCTGTGACATTTTTTGAAGTGACAACACTGAGTAGAAAATTCAATGTTTTAATTGTGCTATATTACATTTTAAATTTCTCTTACTGTTCACAAATACTTGTCTCTTATTTGTTTTTTAAATACATATGTACTGCAGACAGTAAACAGGTAACATTAAATTTATTAAATAATTAAACTGACATCTTTTATTTCTCAGTAATTGGTATTCTCACTAATCTGGTATTCCTCTGTGCAAGGAATGGCCAGATTAAGGAGTCTACTGTATTAAACTGTTATGTTTTCACTCTCAGTAATGTGCAATTAAATTACACTTGAAAGATGATGGCTTAAATCTTCAAGTTAATATTAAAAATTGTTTGAAATAAAAATGATATAATAGTATAAATTTGCAGTAAATAATCTGCAATGAAAACAATTTCATTTATTATTCATAACTAATAAACAATTCATTAAAAATTTAAAATGTTTACTTTTATTTGAAGTTATGATTAATATTACTTTTATTATAATATAATTCAATGTAGGTTATTTAGTTAAATTAAGAGAAATATTGTTATTTTTGTATTCAGATTTGTAGTTTGAAGTATACTAAAAATAAATATTGCATTAAAAACATTAAATATAAATTTGGTGTGTAATTTATTTTAAGGTCGTAATGATAAAGGCCAACTTGGTCATTGTGATCTCCAGAGAAGAGACATTCCAACGTTGATTGAAACATTAAAAGAATTAAATTTTGTTGATGCCGCTTGTGGACGTTCTCATACACTTTTATTATCAGGTAATATTTTTCTTTAATTCTTAAATTAAAATTATATAGTTTTAGCATAAAATATGAAAATTTTAATTATCAAAAAATTAATAAGCTAAACAATTCTTAGAATTTGGAGTTGTATATGGCTGTGGAGATAATAAGATGGGACAATGTGGTATTGGATCTCAAAATACAGCTATTAATATTCCAACCAGGGTATAAAAATTTTTTCAATTTATTCTCACAATTATTATTTTTTTAGAGTGTAATTTACTGTATTTCCTCAATTAAACACTGGGGGAGATTTATTTTTAAAATATACATATCCCCAAGGGTTTTCAAAACCAAGGTTTATTACCTTGCAACAGTAGACAAATAGGTAAAAATTGAAAGAAATATCTTATTGAGTTGTACATTTTCTGAACTATCAAAGCTATTTTTTTAATACTATATTTAAGGGTTACAACTACAACATTTGAAATAATTATGGTTTTTATAGTTAACACAATTTAGCATCTTCTAATTTGGTTATTTCATTGCCATTTGTGTCTGCTTTGATGTCATTGTAGGAATCAAGATCTTGACTATCATCTTTTGATTCAACTCACTATCACTTTCAGAAGGACATCGTGAATTTGAATCAAGAGTTTTTCTAATTACCCTTTGGTTGATAAGCTCTGTATTCATGAACTTGATCAACTTTCCATGCTCAATATTCAACAATATTTGTAATTTTACTTCAAAAAATGTTTCTGTGAACCGTGGAATAGAAAGTGCTGTCTGACTAGACAATTTGAAGAGGTAAAATTCTAGTTACCTTTATTCTAAAATACATCATTGTATACAGTGCAGTACATGTTTTCTATTCTATTCAACCTGTGGTTTGCTTTTAACAGCAGTTTTACTCTCCGGGATTTATTTGAATTCTGGAGTTTAATTGAGGAAATATTGTAATTCATTTTTTCTGATTATTATATTTATAATTTTCAGGATTAGAAATTAAGAGTATCTGCTAGTTGTCCATCAGACAACAAGCTCTAAATTTCTTGTTTTTCCATAATGAAACTAGTTGTCCAAACTGCAAGGTACATAATGTATATTATATAGCTATCACATGATACAAAAAACCATCAAACTTTTATTAAAAAAATAAAGCTTTGTTTATTGCTTGCACACTATACAGCCATTTATTAGGTCTACAAATAAAAAGAAATCTTGAACATCCTGGCACTTATAAAGTATTTGTTTACAGCAGGTGCCAACTAAGAAAAATAGAGTATAAATTCTTATTGGATGTGTTCAAAATTCACCAAAAAGTTTTTTTAATGAAATAAAATTATATTTAAAAACAAAAGTAATTCTATGATTATAAATATGCAAAATCTATAATTGTAATTGGTTACAGTTTTAAAAATCACATGCTAAAATTTTTAATATGTGCACAAATCTAATGACTAATTAGATATCAAATATTAGTATTGAATAATAAATTTTATGAGAAAAAGAAAAATATAAATGGCAATTAACGAATTAAAGAATTTATTAATCAGATATTAATATCTATTAATCATTAAAGCAAAACTGTTATGTATGAAGTCTATGATTTTTTTTGTACTTAAAGACCAATATTAGCTCTTTGTGTTGATTCAAATTATATATATATATTAAATTTTTTATATACAGTAAGACCCCGCCTAATGCAGGGGATGTGTTCCTAGACGACAAAGCACTAAGTGAAACAGCATTAAATGAGGTCATTTTAACATAGAGTAAATAAGGATAGGGGAACACGCGACCAAAAATAAACAAATTTTACTTTAATTTTAAGTTATTTTTATATTAATTTGTATAATAATACATGTTAAATAAAACATAAACATGTGCACTCCTTTCAAAATCTGGATCATTTGCTATAATTTGATCAATGATTTTGGTTATCGTTACCAAACTTTTACTAAGAANTGTTGCAGAAATCTTATTAAATTCAAAGTGTGTTGATAATCCAGAAAGATTGTAAAGCACTGGTATAAAGGATATTTACTATCAGTCTCAGTTGTATATTCAACCTACTTTATTTTGCCTCATTTTCATGAAATTAGTCTTGCAAAAATATTCAATAATAATTCTCATAACTATTGCCTATAGATGGTAATTATATATAAGCAAAGTCATCCAACTTATAAAGTGAAATTTATTCCTAGCAAAGTAACCAAAATGCTTAGTAACTCTGGAAGCACTCGGACTTCATGGGTTGCAACACCAAATTTGTTTTTAATAAACCATGTACTCTGGTTTTTTGTCACAAATTTTTGGGGAAGTGCACAGATTATTCAAGTAAATACAGTAGTACTGATTTCAGATTTTTGAAAATAATCAAACATTTTTACATTTTTCATAACTACATTTGGATGTAAGATTAATTTAATCATCTTAGAATTCATCTTGGAATAAAAAAAATAACCAATGGTTACTTTTTTATTCTAAAATGGGTACTACTATTTAAATGACCCTTGTAATTACATGTAATTATTCTAAAATATTTGTAACAAAAATTAATACATAAAAATAATTTATTTTTCAGACCTCTTTTAAAGGTAGACCAATAGTAAAAATTGCATGTGGAGCAGAGTTCAGTGTTATTGCTGATGTGAAAGGTTGTATATTTTCATTTGGTTGTCCAGAATATGGACAGCTAGGTAAGATAGTTTTTATTATATAGGAAGAAATTTTTTATTGTTATAGAATAAAGCTTGAAAATGCCATTTATATTAGGTCACAACTCAGATGGTCGTTATTTTGTGACAAGTAACAAATTATCTTATCAATGTGAATTGGTCCCACGAAGAATTGGTGTATTTGTAGAAAAAAGTCGAGATGGTCATATAACTTTGGTGGATGATGTCCAAATAATTGATATTGCTTGTGGTATCAATCACACTGTAAGTATGCATAACAATTCTATTTTAATCATATAAAATATTTCTTAACTTTTACTATAAAATATTAAACTTTGTTTATACTAATATTATGTTTATAGATCAATATATTCATTGTGTATGTGCATACCATGTGCTAATTATGTAATAAGTAATTTGTTTCAATTATTAAATAAATTCTAGAAAAGGTATTAATTTAACTAACCTGTATTTGTCCCAAAAATGAGGGAAAGTCATTAAATAGCAGGAACTTTTTTACAAGGGTATGTAAAGAAATTGTTTGTGCCTTTAAACATACATGCACTTTCCTACTTATGAACAGCTTAGGTTCCTGAGATTTTGTCACAAGTTGAAATGACTTATAACAAAACCTCGAACCTAAAAAAATAATTCAAAACTAACCTATAAAGTACATTTGTACACAGAATAACCACCTATTGTTAGTGTTTGATCCTTCAATGTACTTAATAGAATACATTACACTTTGTTTACCTGCTCACTATTTCTTAATAGTAGATGTTTCAAATTGATTTTTTTGCCTAATGCACTTAGTTTTATAATGTCCAGTTTATATTCCATGGTAATAGTGACACTTTTGCATTTATCTCAATTATTTGGTTTACTATTATGTTTTGGATGCATTTTTAAAACATTAATCATAAAAGTTTATAAAAATTACAAATAGCAGCAAAAAATATTGTTACTCTGACATTATCAAATTCAATGCCACTTCGAGTGGCGATAGAACCTCAGAACTTGTGCAAAAACAAAAAGTGACAATATGCAATAGAAATATACCTACATTAATTATTTATTACTGTCCAAAGACTGGCTTCAATGCTCCCCCACAATTGGCAAAAGAACTTCAGAGTCCAAATGAAATTTAAATTTTAGACAGCCAAATTAAAAATAGAAATTTTAGATGGCCAAATTTTTCATAAGTAGGGGGAACACTTGAAGTTCATCGTTGGTAAGGCTTTCACCAGAAACCTGCTGTAACTCCTCAATATCCTTGTCTCTATCTCCTAGTCCTATTATATTGATTAGGTTGAGTTTGTTCAACCTAACAATACAGCAATAGGCTCTTCTCATTGAGAATGCTTGGATAACTTCAGCCATAACTTCTTCCACATTTCATTCATGCATTTATCAGTTAATTCTTGCCAAGCAGTCTATATTTCATATAGCATCCATGATGTCATATTTTTTCCAAAATTGCACCAAACAAACATAGATTTAAAGAAAGTACACCTTTTGCTGATTGGTTTGTGTTCACAAATAATCGTATTATATATGAATCAATGAAATGCCACAATAATTTAAATCAGCGTAAATTTNTCACAACACAGTTGATCCACCAGACCACAAGCTTTAGGATGTCCTCCCAAAAAAAAAAACAAAAAAAACTTGGTGTGGTCTTTAACCAACTTTGCATTGCCTTTATTACCATCAGTGAATTTCTGACTTTGCAAATGTTCTTTCAAAGGTCCAAACAAGTGAAAATCCAATATTACCAAGTACAGATTGTATCATAGATGTTTCATCATCTCAAATTTTAGTTCATGTGATGTATCTACTGCATAGGTCACCCTGGTTTTTTTTATGGCAATTGCCAATCCATTTGCTAAAAACATTTTTTATTTTTCAGGTTACTTTTTGTAACAATCAGAAATGAAAGGACAATCCACAATAGAAAAAAGCAGAGTTCTTATGACTAAGTTTCTCAACCAACTTTATTTTTGTATATTAATAATAAAATTTTTGGTATAGTATGAGTAGTACATCTGATTAAAACTGAATCTTTTGTGGCTGCTCAGCCCATGTTTCAAAAGCCTTCTCAAAATAATTTTTCACTGAGTGACTTTTTCCCCTGGACTGCTCTGTGCCTATTTGCCACTCCAATCACCAGATGAATAAAATTTCTGCAAATTGCAAATTTTGTGACAAGTAGTGTGACTGTATTCACAGCCATATGGGGCTAGGTATTGTCATGGAACAGCAAAACTCTCTTTGAGAGGAGTTTCCAATGTTTTGATTGTTCAACTTTGGGCTTCAACTTGTTCATTAGTATGTTACTGTATAAGGCACTAGTCACAGTATGACCCTTTTCCTGGAAGTTCACCAATATAGGACCGTTGAGATACCTAAATGTGATTGATTTTTTCCAGCAGATGCCTGTCTTGAATTTTTTTTTGTTGACTGGAGAGATGTTGACTAGAGATCTTCCACTGCATCTACTCTTACTCTGGTTTATAATGGTTCATCCAGGACTTGTCTCCTGTCACAATTTGATGGAAAAAAGCATCTTCATAAACATGATGATCCAAGTGTACCTTACAAATTATCTGATCACAAATGATCGGACAGTTGCCATCTGCTACAAACTTTCCTATACCCAAGGTCATCATGCATAACATTGTATGTAAAACCATGTTGAATACTGTAGCAATTTCATCAACAATAACTTTTCTGTAGTCATAGATTTGCTGCTTGATCTGCTGTTTCACTATCTCATTTACCATGGAAACTAGTCTCCATCACTGATGTTTTGTCTTCCATTCATACAATTTCCTTTGACTTAAACAATTGTGTCTGTACTGAACCTTCATTCTCCTGCTATAGATTAAGGTTTTACTTCCTCTATCCATAAAAAACAAAGGATACTTGTGTTCTTTAGTGCAATTCAATAGTGGAGCATCCATGTTGTGCAAGCTATTGTACAGGTAGAAACCACTCAATCGTCACATCCGCTGTATAGCATATTGTTAAGGAGTTGTTTTATGTCCCATAATAAGATTTTTCACATTGCATACATCTCCATGAATTTATATCAAAATTCCTGTTATTTAATGACTTTCCTTTGCATTTTGTGTTTTAACTTTTTTCCTTTGGATCTGATTATGATAAATTCAAATGGTCTATGACAAGAATATACTTAAAATTGTTTCATCTATATTTTCAATAAAATATAATTTTATTTTTCCTGTTAGAAGTTGTCTAAACCTTATATTAAAATTATTTATTGATTTAAATATTGATAAACTGCATTTGAATTCTGGATGCTCAAGGAACTTTTACCTCTTATCTTTATTAACTTTTTCTGATATTTTAAGAAAATATTTTCTCTTATGTTCTCAGCTATATTAGTCATTTTTAATTGAAACTAAATTTTAAAAATTTTAAATGGAAACAACTTTCTGTACAAATAGCAAAATATTTCTGTAATGCATCTGTAATGTTAATTGAAAAACTATTAGATCTATTTGCTGATTGTGTAATAGTAATATTATCATGATGTTATATTTAGCTGATAGAAGAGTAAACTCTAAAAGTTCCAAACAATTGATAACTAACATTAATGTAAGGAAAGAAAATGTAATTCACAATGATACAATGCTATTCACAATTCTTGCTCACTTGATGTGTCACTCATGTTGAAACATGTTTCTCAATACTAATAAATACTTGTTTGCCAGATATGTTCAGTGGTAAAATCTGTCATGAAATAAGCCACTATATTATATTGCCCATAGAGTTAATAGCATGAATCAACATTGTTGGAATTCAGTTTGAACTTTGTAAATATACTAAAAAAAGGCCAATAAAAAATGCAATATTATATACTCCTAAATGCAATTTATTGGTGCTACATTATATAGATGCATCATTTAAGTATAATGATATTTTAGATAATTATGGATGATTGAATTGCTTTTCAGAGGCATATGAAACATTCAAAAAATATGTCTATATCAGATATATAGACATATTTTTTGAATGTTTCATATGCCTCTGAAAAGCAATTCAATCATCCATAATTATCTAAAATATCATTATACTTAAATGATGCATCTATATAATGTAGCACCAATAAATTGCATTTAGGAGTATATAATATTGCATTTTTTATTGGCCTTTTTTTAGTATATTTACAAAGTTCAAACTGAATTCCAACAATGTTGATTCATGCTATTAACTCTATGGGCAATATAATATAGTGGCTTATTTCATGACAGATTTTACCACTGAACATATCTGGCAAACAAGTATTTATTAGTATNTATATAATTTTACTTACAATTGATCTGCAAAATTTGCCATTTTATTTAATAAATTATAATAATAATAATAATAATAATGCTTTACAGATTGCTGTTGATACTAAAAAAAGATGCTTCTCTTGGGGATTTGGTGGATATGGCAGACTTGGCCATGCAGAACCTAAAGATGAAATGGTTCCTAGACTCATAAAATCATTTGATGGTCCTAATCGTGGAGTGAAGAGAGTTTATGCTGGAGGCACTTATAGTATGGCAATAAATGAATTTGGTAAGAATTTTTTTTACTCTTTATGCTCAAAATAATAATTTTGTTTAAATAGCATTATTATATATTCAAAAACTATAGGTGTTTTATATTTCTGGGGACAACATAAAACCACTGGAGAGGCTACTATGTATCCAAAACCAATTCAGGATCTTGCAGGTTGGCAGATTCGTGACATTGGCTGTTCCAATCGTAGTCTAGTGGTTGTGGCTGATGAGAGCGTTATTTCTTGGGGTCCTAGTCCCACTTATGGTGAACTGGTATGTATTTGTTACAGAGAAAAACTGAATTTAAATTTTGTTTTCAGTATTTCAACAGAGTTTATTTAGAGAAAAGATTAATAGAATTAGTTTCATAGAATATATAAAATACAGTGATAGACACTCCCAAATAGCAGACATCTCTGCTTAATAGACATTTTTTACAATCCCCAGACCCTTCAAATAGGACATCTATAATATGTACATTACCTCTAAATTTTATATGCCATTGTCTATAACCTACCTTATGAAAACACAAAGTCATTCCTTCAATATTCTGAAATAATTAATTATGTACAAAATATTTTAAAAATAAAACAAAGAATCAGTTCAGATTCTCCTAAAGGACAAATTTTGACCATAGGCATTGAACAAAAAGACTGGCTTAAAATAGGAATAGGGAAGGCGGAAAGGTTGTAAAAAGCTGAACAATATTCTTAACCAGATTAGTGTTTTCTAACAGATAAAGTTGTCAATCATCATTTATCATCATACATATTAATGTTGTTAAACTTCTCTCTTATTGTTGGAATTAAGCTTATGGTATCAAGAAGCCATGAACTTTTCTGGAGTTATTCATTCATTCATTCCACAAGAACCATAGTACAGTAGCAATGAAAAAGAAATAGTTTTAAGGTTAAGACAACAGTGTTTATTTGATGAAAGTTCAAAGATTGTGTTATGAAGGCAATTTGCCAGCAATCATTATACAGGGTGCATAGGAAAGTCCCTTTAACTGGAAAATTCTTACAAATGGAGAAAGCTACAGCTATGCAAATGAGGTAATGGTATAGTAAAGCAACTACACCTGACTTAATGCAAATGACAGCAGTGTCTCTAGTCGCAAAATTTAGAAGATAGGCAGTGCAAATTGAAAACGAAAACAGATAGAGCAAACTTTCCAATTAGAAAGTTTTAGAGCATCAATTAATTAGTACGAAAGGACATGTGGTTCACATGGATAAGATAAATTGTCATCTGTATAGCCAAAAATGTCTGAAAGCAATGCACGCCATTTTGTGTAAACGTTTGAAAACAATAGCCATAGGTATGAAGAAATATGCACAATTTATTGCAAAAAATACGTACATACGTCAATGCAGTTTGATAATAATGGCGTGTATTGTGAGCAATGGTGAACTTTTCGAACATACTCGACATTAACTTGTTATCACTGTGTGAAAGTTTGCCTTTCCGTTGTTTTTTGTGACTGTATTGACATAAGTACATATTTTATGCAATAAATTGTGCGTATTTCTTCATACCTATTGCTATTCCTTTCAAACATTTACACAAAATGGCGTGCGTCGCTTTCGGACATTTTTGGTTAGACGACAATTTATCTTATCCGTGTGAACCACATGCCCTTTCATACTAATTAATTGCTCTAAAACTTTCTAATTGGAAAGTTTGCTCTATCTGTTTTCATTTTCAATTTGCACTGCCTATCTTCTAAATTTTGCGACTAGGGACACTGCTGTCATTTGCATTAGGTCAGGCGTAGTCACTTTACTGTACCGTTACCTCACTTGCATAGCTGTAGCTCTCTCTGTTTGCAAGAATTTTCCAGTTAAAGGAACTTTCGTATGCACCCTGTATACTTTTATTAGCAGCTCAGTTGATATTACTATCTAATAGTAAATTTAATGATAAACAATTATTTCAAGATTTCAAATTCTAAGTTATGTTTCTTAAAAGTAAATTGATTGTATGCTAGTGATAATTACTAGTTATATGCTTAGTCAATTAGAAATTCATTATTTACAAATTTTCAAGTAGCACTTTGTTAAGCTGTTTACAATCTGCCAAGGGGAGTATCTCCCAGGCAGATTTTTTTTTTGAAACACTGCCCCTATTTAGGTGTCAAAGTTGTCTATATATGACCAGTTTGTTGGCAAGTTGTGAACACATGATAACACTGAACACAGTGTTTTTGTTATCCACTCAACCACTGATGCTATCTTAATCTGTCACAGAACATTGATTTCAACTACAGGAATATTCTTTGAGAAATTATTTTAAACTTGAAAAAAATTATATATATTTATTAATTGGAATTAAAAGATTTTAAAATATCAACTTATAAAAGTATCTCAAAACAAGTGTTTGGTTTATTTTTTTGAAGACTAAATATGTATTTAAAAAAGACTGATTTATTTTTTCTTTTCATGATTTGCAAAAATCATATACACTGTAGAGTGAGCTAGCTTCATTGTTATTGCTAAAATTAATTTTGTTTCATACTTATAATTTATTATTAAATATAAATAGCACTTATGATGATGGCATGAGTTAAGTTTTTATTTCAAAACATATTGAAAAGCAAATAATCTTCAAGATAAATTAATGAAAATTCAGTGTATTTTGACATGTTATATTATATACATAAACTTCTACAGACAGTAAAATTTCAATTTAATGGTATTATAAAATTAATAAAACTAACAGAATAATATGTGTCAGTCATTAACAAACAATGTTATTTGCTCAGATGATGCTACTTCTGATTTTTGTATTGTGTAGTATTAGGCTTTTAAAATCTCAAACCATCCATGGCTTCTTCAAATGATGTTATTCACCTTGCAGTCACCCTTCTTCACTGATTTTTTTTTTCTATTTGTCAAATATTGATATGGTCTTCTGCTGTATAATCATAGTTGATAAGGTAATATACTAACATCATCTGTTTGATTCTTCATTCACTGTATAAGATACGTTTTGAGCTTCTTGAATACTTTGCATTGACTCAAGAAGTCATCACTATTTCACAAAACTTAAAAAAAGAAAGAGTTGTGAAACAGTTATTACTTTTCATGATTTGCAAAAATCATATACTGGAGAATGAGCTAGCCTAAAGAGATTTCAATATCTTTATTTCCTCTTTTTTCTTCTTTCTGTATCACCTTCTTTCCTAGTTTTGAGCGCACTAAAATAATACTCAAAATGTAATTGAATTTAAAAATTCTTGTATGGCAAACTTAGAGACTAAAGTGTAGAACTTAGTCTTGTCCACAACAAATTGAAGACTACATTGCCAGTTTTAGAATAAATTGGTGAGTACTTTTTTGTATTAGAAACCATATCAAACAAGCAAGAAATTTATTATGACGTTATCACAATTCTCTCAATTTTAGTATCGTCTTGCCCCTGTATATCATACTTTCCTGTAAACAATGGAGTTGTGCCAACCATCTAACTCTGTTAACAAAAGATTTTTGAATTAAAGTAACATGACTTCTGATCCAAACTGGAAGTTTATATATAGTTAATCAGGGCCTCATGCCCCTAAGCTTTCCATATCTGGTCTTGACTTTCATCTATCTAACTCTGTTCTCGAGATTAAGGAAGAGACAGACAGACCAACCATTGGGAATTTATAGGTCTATAATTATTGAAAATTTATAAAAAGTTGTTTTGATGAAAAGTCATCATACTAGAAAACTTCCATCTTTCACCCAGTGATTTTTTAGATATACAGTATTTGTTTCATCATTTTGTAGGTTTACCAACACTTTCATTCCACTTACTTTTGCAACATGAAATAATACTTACAAGGGAAAGTTCAGACGTTCATGTCTCCAATTCAAATAAAACTTTGTGAACATATGGCCCTAAACACAAACAGGTTCTTATCAAAATATTTAATAGGATTCATGTCTCAAGTGTTTCTAGAAATGGTCCTCTGAAAATTGAGTGTTTAGCTTATAATTCTTTGGAAATTTCAGACTTCTTCAGAACAGTGATAGCTGAGTGGATAAGACAATAGACATTGGAGGTACATGATAAATTGCTTGGGTTCAAACTTGCTAGTTTTTTGTGTGTAACATAATTATTTTACCATAACTTTAGCATTATTATTACTACAGTGTAGGGAAAGTAAGCTGCAGGCCAGTAATCAGCGAATTTGCTTGAGCTGCACGAAAAGCTTGGATCCCAATTTTTTGACACTGGATCATACAGACCTAGACATGGCCTCTCAAACACTCAAGACAGGTGTTGAAAGCTGTCATTTTGAATGTCCATGATTGATGTGCTATGCACTATCGCAGATTAATCTTCTATAAATACATCTTTGAAGTTATAAGCCAGCATTTAAATATTTAGTCTTTTATTATCAATAAACAATGAAATTCAAACACAGTATTAATCTGTTTTATCCACACTGAGTGTCAGCATTATGGAGGCTGACATTGTAACCAATTCACACCTTACAATGTTACAAAGTTAATCCTTGGACCACCTAAGCCGTGGTTAAGCAGTTTGGACCTCAATCACTGCAGCTTAATGGCCCTACACTGTATTATTATTCCTCACATTTAAAGCTTATAAAACAAGAGTTTAATAAGTTGTGACATGCTTTAAATATAGTATGCTTTATAGTAGCTTTAAATATGAATAGTAATAATAATGCTAATGGTATATAAAATAATTGTTATGTATAAAAAAAAAATCTAAAATTGCAGAGGTTCAAATTTATATCATATAGCTTCAGTGCTTAGCATCTGGATAACAGAGTGATAACAGTGAATATAAAAGGCCTGAAACTTCCAAAGACTTATAAACACTCAATTTTCAGAGATGCTTGAGAAGTGGGTCTTATTATTTGTACAAGAAATTTGTAATTTGTGTAACAAGTACAGGGTCAGAGGTTTGGATCTCCAATTCAAGCAGAACTTGGTAAGCAAATGGCCTTATTAAACATAATGATTAAACTTATAATGTAATTGTGCAATCATACATATAAGAATCAGCTTATGGTTAGTACAGTTAGGTTGGTTAAATTTTCTTATGCAGCTTTACATGATTTATTCCTTGAATTTAATTGCTATTATAATCTCTTTAATATTTGATTAAATAAATCAGTACATAAACATTCTTATTTTACATTAGTAGTTTCAAGTTTATAACACTTACTACAATTCAATATTAAACCATTTTTTGGCTGCAATTTGAACAAATTGTAGATCTATAAATTCCCACTGTCATCCTTCTGTCTTTCCTTAATCTCAAGAATGGAGTTAGATAGATGAAAGACAAGACCAGATATGGAAACCTTACGGGCATGAGGACCTGATAACTATATACAAACTACCGATGCAATATGGAAGTCATCTTAATTTGAATTCAAACATTTCCCCTGAAAGGTGTTAGATAGATGACTGACACGATTCTATTGTTAAAGGAAAAGTATGATGTATAGGGGCAAGCCACTACTAATTTAAGATGGAGAGCATTTTATTATTACAATCCCCAATCAAATGTTTCTACTTGGATGATGAGTCAAAAAAAAAAAAAAAGATTTTGTAAACTAGACAATTTAAAAATCTTGTACAGTGACTTATTAATATGATAATACATGATTTTTATTTTAGGGATTATGTTCTGCTTTTTTTTCTAACTTTATCACATTTTCATGGATAATTTTGACCCATTCTAGACAGACTTGAATTCTGGTCTCAAAATTGGCAGGCTGTTGACTAATAATAATTTGCTTTTCTATTTTACTAAAAAAAAATTTAATTAACATTATAATATAATGTTAAGTCACTTTTGCACTTAAGCATATTTTATATATTATATAAAATATGCTTTGCAGGACAATAGTTCTGTACTTGACCAAATACATCACAAAAATATAAATTTATGTGGTTATATTAATCTAATTCTGTGATAATAACCACTGTGGATAATACATTGTGGTAGCTCTCAAAAAAAAAAAAATGTATTACTGATTTGAAAACCAATGCATATTTTGCAATAAGAACTTTTTTTTATCACAGGGAGCTGTCTAAAGCCCATTCCATTCTATTGTTCTCACAAACAGTACTGTTTTTTACTTAACCTCTCAGTTGCGCATCTCAAGAATCCAAAACTACACCGTTGTTGCTCAGTATTTGTTGGTTTTTATAGTAATTTTTAAATTTGCAATATTATGCTTAAAAATTGCTGTAGATCTGAACTGTTTTTTGTCTGTTATTACGCACATATCACACTTTACGATTGTTGACATTAAAATATTATGTATGTTTTAAAAAATTTTAAGATTTTTAAATATTAAAAAAAATTCGTTTTTTATAAATATTTTATTAATTTATTATATATCTTATTTAGATATGTCTATATTCTGTCAAATAAAAAAAACTGTAGCATTTTAACTTTATTTAAAGTGATAATATGACTTATAATATTTAACGCACATTGTTTGGAGGGGTATATCCGTTTTCTATATTTAGGTCAACAACTGTTTCTGCTAGGGGGAGTGGTCTTAACCGGAAGTACTTCGTTTTTTAGAAAAATTTACAATTGAATGATCTTAAAAACACTAATATTCATTAAATAGGATAACTATATGTATGATTTTATTCAATTCAAGCTAAAAATAAAATGACAATATTGATTTATGATTGTTTACGTTTATAGCTGACAATGTAGCTCGGACAAAAATAACTTTTTCCAAGAAAGTTCCCTCCCTACAGACCCAAGTCTATGCTTATTTGTTAAACCATAGTCATTTAGCAATAATATACCAATTGGAGTTCAACAGGCTTGTAAACAAAAATTTTATTGTCCAATGAATGAAAGAAGAGTCTCCCATAGACTTAACATGGAAAGGAGGGGTTTTGTAAAATTTAAAAATATGGGGTGGTAACAAATATCTTATTCGTTGAAACAGACTTAGTCTATGTACATAAATGCCAATCAGTGCTTAAATCGCCACCAACTAGTTATTTACGAAAAAAAATTGACACTTCAATTGGAGTACTGCGCAGCAGTTTAACTAAAACCGGTTACTCCAATAGCAGTACTGCGCAACTGACTGGTTAAATCTCTAAGATATATTCTAGGCATCTATATCTTAGACAGTACTGCATTAAGACAAGAGCAAATGATCTGAAAGATCACTTGCTTTCTTAAATTAATTGAGAGAGGTCTTAAGCCCAGGTGAGCTAGGCATGATGCATTAACTTTTTATACATTGTCCAAAACATAATTTACACATTGCCTGTATTTGTTCTATTTTTTATCAATTTTTCTTCTTTTGTTTATTGCATTGCCATTAATTTGAAATCATTTTATGAATATTTTTGGTAAACCAAGAACTGAAATGTATTTTTTATTTTATTTTAGGGTTATGGGGATAACAGACCAAAATCATCTCCCAATCCACAAGAAGTGAAACCTCTTGATGGCATTCACATTCACAGTGTAAGCTGTGGATACGGACACACGTTATTTGTTGCCCGGGACGACACGGAAGAAGACAGGGAAAAACTGAACAAATTGCCAGATTATGCCCCATAATAATTTTCATTTCTAGGAATGCCTTATTAAAATAAACTCACCAAGATTTTAAACATTGTGTATGCATGAATGATAAAAATTTAATTAGAACATATCCACATTAAAGTGATTCAGTACTTACAAATCAATCAGTATTGTTTTTAAGTAATTTGGATGGCAGTCGACATCCACTAGTGTGATTTCCAAAGAACTGTACGATGTACAGTACGGTAGTTATCTCGATCTTCATTTCCATTGACCAAGTGCAGGGAAATGAGTATTATTTACCCTGACTGTTTCAATTAATGCAAATTAAAATTGCATTGGTCTTAGGTAAAAAGTGCTGAATTCATGCTTTAGGTGCTGTTATAAATTGACATATATTTTTTAATCATTACTTAAATGTAGAATCCTTTTGTAATATTTGACATTACAGTCTATTTTTATGGTTTAGTTAAAATGGCAGCATTAATGTTTCCACAGTTTCTGTAATTGTTGTTCAATTCATTTTTAAATATTTGTCATAATAAAAATTTTCATAATGCTTTATTGGTGGTAAATTTTTTCTAATACAATGTTGGCTGCCTCCTCCAGATTTTGACATTTCCTGTTATCGAAGTAGCTTATTTCTGTAACTTTCCTATTTAACTACCTCATTTTTACTGTCCGAAGACAAAAGTATCTGTCGTTGTAAAATTCGGTTCTGGGAAAATTTTCACGGGTGGTCCAAAGTTGTCTCTTTCCATTAAGAAGTGTTCTAGAAATCGCTGGATGGATGTAAATAATTTCAGAAACGTCGGTTTTTATTCAAATCATCCCAAACGTGTAAATAAATCTGTTTGACAGATATTGCAACGTATCCTATCTTCATATTTGGTTCATTTGTCATAATTTATTTGACAAACATCAATCATCTTGCACAATGCAATAACATCATCGTTTTATTATGCAAACACTGAATGTGCATTTAAGAGAGATCTGTATTCCAGCATTATACTGCCATTCCTTAAGATTAAATGCAATTGAATTGCTTAGTTCCTAGAGATTTGTAAATATTTTTGGTAAAAAAGCCATTATACAAGAAATTTTTTATTTAACAATTAAAAATTTGACAGAAGAAAAGAAATTATGCATATTTGGGAACTAAGTACTTCATTTGTACACATTTGCTTTAAATCTGTAATGTTCTTGTTGATAGTTTTAATGTTTGACAGCATTCTTTAAATATGTTAAATTTTATTACGACAAGATCGGACATAATAAAGATGGAAGTTCCTCCAAATTCTACAAAATAACGTTTCTGTTGGCGGAACAACCATCTCGGCTCCTCTATAAGTGACTTTTTTTTTATAATGTGATAATTGTGATTTGTCTAATACTTTTGTATTATAGACAATGTATTGTGTGGAGGTTCTTGGAAAAAAATCCAAATATTTACATTTGGATCTGTTTTTGCCATTTCTGCTTTATAAAGTGTAACTTTGAAGTTAGAAAAAATAAACAATCTTCCAACAACAATGTTATCTGATTTAATGGTAAAAATTTACAGATTTGATATAAATTCACAATTATCCCGCAAACTACCTTCCATTTTGTTACAGAAATATAAAACTTGTCTTAAATACTTCCTTTTTCCTTATAAATATAATGTTACAGTTTTTATATTGTAGTACTTAAAAAATAGAGCCTATATATTTTTTTCATGCTGCTAAAAATAAATTTTGATTGAAATGATATTTGTTAATAGAAGAACTTCGAGTTTTGTTTTTGGTCCCTACACTCAAACTGGCATAGGAAAACAGTGTGATATTGCACGGCTATCACAACATCGCCTAGTAACTTCTATCCGAACTTCAAATTCCCTATTCGTTCGAATGCCATAGTTTCTGTAAAAATAAATATTAGTCTAATGGCAGAAATAGTTAAATAAACAAAATGCTTACCTTCTCGATAAATGCCGGAAGTGTAAAGGCTGCCCTGTGAATTTCGGAAGAATAATATCGTAGCCTCATTAGTTTAGATTCTTCTTCCGAGAATATACGTCGAGGTTCTCTAAAATTTGTCTCCTTAATACAAAAAAACAATTTTCAATAATTATTATATTGGAAAAAGCAAAGTAAAAAATAATAATATTTTTACCGGTGCTAGACTACACATCAGAAATCCTATCTGTCCACTGGGATATGTTGGTATGTATATGGATGCGTAACCAACCACAGGAAATAGTGTCTGGCACATGTCTACCATATCTTTAATGAGATTTAAATCATACCAAATAGATTCTCCTAAAAATAGAGAAAAAAATTGTGTAATTTCATTTGTCAGAAAAGTTGTACTTTTTCATTACTGCTATTTCAGAACAACAAAACACTATTACTTGTTTTGCAGATACTTTTCCTAGAATACATTATTTCATTTAATCTCTTACCAAAATATGAATCTGCAAAGATTTTTGGGATATGGTTTAAGGATATCTAAAATCTTGACAGTGGATTGAAGTATTATCATTCTTATAGTTGATTCTTGAATATTGCATTTTACAGTTATTAGTACATGTAAAACACACATTGCTATAGTTGCAGAAACTAGACTCAAGGTTTATAATAGAGTCCAAACTATGTAATTTTATTGTTCAAAGAGATTCATTTTTGACAATTTTCTTCTGTTGGACTGTTTTCCATCAACTTGTATGATCCATTAGTTATGCTTTAAAATCTTTTTTATCTAATGTGTCTTTCTATTTCATTTATTGGTTTTCATGAGACAAGCACAATTTTAATGTAAATTTTTCTTAAATTTCAAATCAGCTTAATGGTTAATTATAGATCAAAGCAATTGAAGAATAATAATGTCAGTTTTGTTATTTTCAAAATACTTTTAAGCATTCATATGATAGCATCCACATTTTATAAATTTACTTTGTAATTAATTAAACATTGATTTTCAGAACTAAAAATTTCCTCAAATTATTGCACATTAGAACACAAAATCCAGGTTAACTGTTCTTAGTAATTATTAATTCATTCATATAGTTTGTGTGATTTAACTAATATTTTCCAAATAAGTAAATAGCATAGAATTTGCCAAGCAACACAGAAAACTGGTAAATTAATAACATATATCATCATAGAATAACAAAAACAATTATAATCTATTATTTCCTTTAATCAAGGAAATAAAATTGAAATCATTAACAATACCATGAATGACCTATTTTGTTACATTAACAAAGGGTGATAATTATCTTTTTGCAAAACGTTTATCATTAAAAAAATGCACCAAAGTTTTGACTGACTTTTTCATTATTAATAACAGTTTTTTTCCTCTAATGCAACCATATAATGTTTTAAAATATAAAATAAGATTGAAGTATAACAAATTATAAAAATAAAGGAAAATGTTTAAAAAATTGCTATCTAATTATTAATTAGCTTTAATACATCTAGCAAATCATTTCTAATACAAGTGTATTAGATTATTTTATACTAGTAGCCTGGGATGCCCCCTAGTGGACTTTCTTTACAAATTCCCATGAAAGACGGTTCCTTTGACTTTTTTATTTCTATCAATATGCTCTACAGCTCTGTTAAAGTCCCAATCGCGTCATATGGATCTATATTTCTATCTATTAAACATTGTATAAAACTTTAAAATAGTTTAATTTGCTTATTTACCTTCAGTTGTAAACCTCAATTTTAAATGTATCTGCCATTTTTTCAAAAAATTTCCTGTGAATCAATGCGCGACATTCACTGACTTGTGAGTCATGGGATGTTTTAAACGTGCGGTGCAAGGTTAATCAAGGCATATAATACAATAATTATTTATACCATTCCCTGGTATAAATAATAAATTCATATCAATAATAAATTCCTATTACAAATAAAAATAATTTATTGTTAATTTAAAATCATCGCTAGGGCACCTCTAGTGCTCGTTTTAGGCATACCGTTACGCGGACGGACACGTGTTCAGTGGGTTATATAGATAGACTAGCATAAACAACAATGATAAAACTTCTATTTAATCTTGACAGTTCAAAAAAAGGTTTTAAACAGAAAATTTGCAAATTAATTAATAAGCCATGTTGTGAAATTAGTGAATGTTTCATTTTAATTCAAGCTGATATAATTTTTTTTTACCCATTAAGTAGTGCTGAAAAGTTTTGAAATTATGGATTTTCAGTTTTGGTTTGTTTTTCATAAAATCCTTACTTCAAGCATACAACCATGTAAATAGATAATGCTGTGACAATTGAAAACAGTAAACAACATTCCAATTTCACTCCTAAAACACTGTTTCTCTGCATTTTGGCAAATTTTCCCAATTCATGCCTGTAAGCTTAACCAAAAACCAACATACACTTTCATTGTGACATTTTGCAGGTACAGTGGAACCTTGCTTAATGATCACCTCACATAATGAGTGATTTGCATAATGAGCAGAACAAATTGTAAAAATTGATTCGCTTAATGAGCAATGTTTTGCATAACAAGTGACGAGAAGAGGGGAAGCCCTGGATTGTGCACATGTTCCATCAGTTTGTGATTAGCACTTCTTCTGTGAGCATCTTAGTGTTGCTTGTGATCACACATATTATATATTATGTGTTCACATATTATATAATATACAGTCGACCCCCCTATAACGTACGTTCCTATAACGACAATTCCTAGAACGTAGCGAAAAAATTGTAGCAACTTTCGTATAACGTACCTCCTATAATGTCGTTTTGCGACAAGATTGATAGAGTCTGGACCAATAGTGGATGAGCAGCCGAACTACTTTCCTCCGACCCTGCGCCACGCTACGGAGCGGCTAAATTGAGTTTGCTATCGTCTGTTTAGTATTATATATAAATTATATATAAATTAGGTACTGTACATATAATTATATATTAATTATATATAAATTAGGTACTGTATATATAATTATATATTAACTTAATTTATTGTAACTTTATTATAATTATATATATGCTTTCTGCCGCCTGGCAACACGCTACGGAGATTTTAGGCTAGTAAGTTGAGTTTATTATCGTCTGCACAGTATGTAAATTAGGTACCGTAAGTCTAATACAGCACTAATTTTATACATTTCTTGTGAAAGAAACACTTCTTATTCAACGTCCATAAAAATTATTTATATTAATGATGTCTCCAAAGGTCAAGTTATTTTTCCGCCAAAAATTCGTTATCAGAAATTGCGGCCGTCGTTTCGCGTGCTGTTCCGCGATGAAAACCAGCTTTAAGCAACGGCGTAGTCGAACGGTGTAAGTAATCCTACAATTTTTTGTTTATAGCATAGTTTATACAGATTATTCCCAAAAAATTATACGTATTTTGGAAATGTTGAGTGGAATTAGTCTAGAATCGGTTAATTTTATAGAAGAAAACCTTTCGAACAGCCTTAGTCCGTAAAGTTCCCACCTATCGGGCTGCGATTGGCTCATTCCTACAACGTAATTTTCGGTTAGCGTGGAACGTATCTAAGCGTTATAGGGGGGTCTACTGTATGGCTATGGTTGTTGATGTTTATAATAAACACACCAAATGATATGCCAAATTCTTAGGCTATGTAAAGGCTATAATTAAATATTAGAATTTGTACTGGTTTGAAACCATGTTGTTCTATGTTTTTGTTTTGTAAGCACGATAGAGTGCAGTTAAACTTAGTTGACTGAAGTGGGACATTGCAAGGCCTGAAATGTGTAAAAACACGTATCAACTAAAAAGAGCAAATAAACGGTTGAAAAGATGCCTAGTGTTCATTTAACTGCACTCTTATCGTGTTTACGAAACAAAATATTAGAAATTAATTAATTTGACTAGAGGATGGCAGTTATGCTGCCATCTCATATTAAATGTAATGACCAATTCCAAATTAAATTGATTTTATTTGTTTTCTGCAAATAGAATTCACATTCCAGGTTGGTTCATTCTGCGGTAGAAGAAAAGATGATGATTCACACTCCTTAACAATGTACATTGTATAATTTTCTTTGAATAAATGTTATACATATAATATTTGAGTATTTTTTTGGGGCATGGAATGCATTATTGTATTTTACATTAATTTATATGGGTAAAATTGTTTTACTTAACGAGTGTTTTGCATTACAAGTAAGATTCTGGAACAAATTATGCTTGTTAAGAGAGATTCCACTATATTGCCATTTTCTGTACTGAGATTTCCCTAAGACTCCAATGGTGCAAACCAGGTTTGGAGGAAATTAAAGCAGTCTAAACTTCTGGATATAAATGCAGTCAAACCTGTCTATAAGGGAACTTATCTATAGCAAAAACCTATCATTTACAGATTTCTGTGGTCCCTTGAATTTTCTGCAAAAATCAACATAAATTAGCCTGTATACTATGAAACAGAAAGGAAAATCAGGCCATATAATGGAAAAATTATTATATCCTCTTCCATGCTCAACAGAGATTTTGCATACAGTAATACCTCGACTGACGCTACCCCAACTTACGCGAACCCGGAGTTACGTGATTTTCAAATCTCGTTGATTCGTCTTTTGTTCAATCGCCACGCAACTCTCGATTACTCATTCCCGCCACACTATTGTTCAGCTTAATGTTCGAACGTGTCGCATGGAATCGACACATAGCTACAATTTATTTTGTGTTATTTATTTCTGTGTTTGTTATATCTACGGAGACTTGATAGACTCTACTATGCCATCCAAACGAAGTAGAACTAATTCTTCTGCATCAAACAAGAAAAGAAAAACTTTATCTTTGGAATGTAAAGTTAACATTGGGTACGTTCATAAAGTCGAACGAGTTGAATGAGAATGATGACATCATTATTCCTATTTCGTTAGACTTTTCGAACGATTCGTTACTAACGCGTTTGACTTTACAAATGTACCCATTATTAAAGACTTTGATACAAAAATGAAATTTTGTGAATTGGCAAAGAAGTTTGATCTACTGGAATCGACAGTCAGAACAATTATAAAAGGTAAAGAAAAAATTCTCAAAGCTGTGAAGAATGCTCAGTCTTTAAATTCAAGCATCATTCATAAACGTCATGGTATTATCCCTGAGATGGAAACAATGTTAAAATTATAGCGTGATAATCAAGTAAATGTGAAAAATTGTAAAATAATATAATTTGTTATACATATGTATTATCTAAGATTTTATTAAACATTTTTTTCTAAATTATTGTTTTTTTTTACTCTCTGGCCCCAATTAAAAATTATTTGTATGTATTTATATGTGAAATTATACCCCGACTTATGCGAATTCGACTTACGTGGTTACCGCTCGGTCCCACCTATCGCGTAAGTTTGGGGTATTACTGTATTTTTAACAGCTGTCTTTACTTAACATAGATATGTAATTTATTTATAACAGTTGTGAAATTGAATACATCACTGCCAATGTGAGATTATTCTTTGTTTAGATGCTTGTTTTAAATTTACATCACATTTTGTTTGAATAAAAGCAAGTGGAAATGTCCGCAGGTAAAAAGAATAATATGCCCAATATGAATTTTAAGTTTTGTAAAAGATATGTTATACAAACAGAAAAAATACTCTTAGTAGCATCTTCCCCATACACACTAAATGCCAAATGTGGTTTTGAAAGTTTCGTTTGGAAAATTTTGAACTAAAGGATACAAAACATACAAGCTGTCCAAAAGCTGTTGAAGAACAGAAATTGAGGAAAGAAATTGTTAAATGTTGACAAAAACAATTGTGAACTTGCAACAAATCTTAATATGTCACAGACATGTATTGTTGAAATACTTCATCCACTTGAAATTGTTGTAAATACAATGATGAATCTTTTTTTGCATTTCATTTGTGTGGAACACAAACTGGATCAAGTATAATTTTGTCTGATAAAGGCTGACAGCTCTTAAGGTTATATTTTATTTTTAAATTAATTACTCATTTTTATCATAAAAAAAACTTTTTACAGATGACAAAATTGTAGTTAAATTTTTGTTAATAATAAATATTTTTATTCTAGCAGGTGGCAATTGTTTGGTGGAATACCAAGTATCACTGTATTTGATTAACATGAGTTTGATGTAAGTGGTACCATTGAGGAATTAATTAATTGCTTTAATCAAAGGATATCTATAGTAAGCAACCTGTAATTTTCTGATGGCATGGAAAATGAGGTTGTGACTATACAGTTTAGTAATTTATTATGATCAGCTTTATTAGTTTTAGTGAGCTTTAATAGTTTATATTGCTGAATTTATTATTACAAGAAATGAGCTCAAAAAAATTTTATGACAGTATATAGCAATGAACAGTCTAGTAACTTAGCAACTATAGTAATATTTGGTAGTCTCTGTGATATCATACATTATATCAGAAACTTGTTAATTATAATTTCTCTATTGTCAAGAAAATTTAATTTCTGTACAAATTTTTCAAAAAAACTTTATATAACTCAGACAAAGTGCTAGTTAGCAGGAGTTTACTATACTATACTAAAATTTCAAAATAAACTTTTACCTTGTGAGCAAATAATGCCACCTGGCTTAAGAGCTTCTTTGAGTGCTTCATAATAAGGTTTTTGGAACAGACAGACAGCTGGTCCTGGAAAAAAGTATTTGGTTGTCAATAAGAAACAGATAATTATATAAAGCTATTCCTTTACCTTTGGGATCTGAAGAGTCAGTTATTATCACATCAAACTCCTGTTTATGTTTTTTTACAAATTCTATGCCATCTTCAATAAATAATGTTAACTTAGGACTATTAAAGCCTTCTGCCATAAAAGGCAAATATTTTTTTGAAGTTTCTATCACTTTCTATTAAAATAAAAATTACTTATTGGTATTAAATATGTCAATTAAAGCTACATTAGAATAGACTGTAGCCCCATGTTATATTGTGCTTTTTTGGGTCTCCCAAATTTTATTGACTCAAGTGCTTTTAAATTTTAAAATATCAATTGCCATTGAATTTCTTTTTGCAACGCAATACCATATTTTACTCCATTGCAGGCGAAACAATAAATTCATTAAGATCTAAATAAGTAAAACAGGTGGACAGATCAATTGTCATTTATCTTTCCTTTTGATATTAAAAGTTGTTTATTTATTGGTTTTAAGTATTGTCTCCTCATTTACAAGTTTCTGTGAATTCGAAATTTCACACCTTAAAGATGTGAAATTTCAAATTACCATGTAATAATATGTAAGGAAAAGATTTATTTATTTTTGAACAGAAAAATTAAGATTTTTTATACAGTAGTAACTTTATTTTGCTTTTTAGAAAATTTTTACTCTAATTTTATAAGTTTTGATGTTCTATTATGATCAATACCGTTGACCCCTATGACACTGTTGATAATTCCATGTTGTAAGAGTCACTTAGAATACGTGTGCCAGGCTGTGAACGGCTCACGTATTTGTAAAATCTAAGTGACTTGTACAACATGGAATTCATATAAAACAGAATTATCAACAGTGTTATAGGGGAGGTCAACTGTATTTATTTTTTAAATTTTCAATTACAGTACTGTATTTATAATTTTTATTGAAAAATATAAATTACACAAATTTTTAATAAGTGATTTATTATGAAATATAGTACTGTATAATAAAATTGCAACTGATATTTTGTTTTTATATCGACAGTATTTGTCTTTAAATGTCATTGTTAAAGAAACAATAATGCTAAATGGGCGTTCCTGGTATTGATATTTATGTAAATGTCAATTAATATGATATAACCACGAATTGTATTGAAAAACTAGGCTTGTTTTATATCAGGAACACTTGCTGATAAAAGAATAGAGGATAGAGATTCCATAGCATATATAAATTTTTTTTAGTAAAAGCCCAGAATTCTTAGTACTTGGTTATATCATGCCGCTGGATATATGCTTTTTCTTTGTCCCCCAACAAGTGCAATATAACAAGGGACTACTGTATTGTTATAATTACCTCATCTATTTCACATTGAATTATATGTTCAACGTTAGGATGCTTTGCAACTTCACGGACCACACCTCCATCTCCACCACCAATTATCAAAATCTAAAATTTCAATTTGGATGGATTCTTTGTAATTTTAGAAAAACTGAATAAATTTTTTTAATTTAAAAAATTTTCATACCTTTTTTGGATTAGGATGAGAATTTAAAGGTAAGAAAGTAATCATTTCTTGATAAGAAAACTCATCTCTTTCTGAACACTGGATGGAATTATCAAGAACAAGACATCTTCCAAACTTCTTGCTAAAAAGCAAAGTTTATATAAAAATGTTTGTCAAAAAATTACATATAAGTATTGGGTTGTTCGGAAAGTAAGTTCGTTTTTTTCCGTAAAAAAACAACACTATATTTATAATAAATAAATTTTTTATTGAATTATATATTGACCATTTTGGTCAAATACCTGTTGTCATCATTTCTGATAGCAGCATGATTTCACATTCATAAAAGTTTTTATCGTTGCTTACAAAAAACTGATCCAAGTGATTTTTGACATTGTCATTTCAAGTAAATGTCTTACAGTTAAAAAAAAAATTATATAGATCGTAACAAGTAATAAATCTGAATGTGCTCGATCTGGCAAATATGGCTGGTGTGATAGTACCTCCCATCTAAGTTATAACAGTTTCTGACCAGTTACCAAACTTGTGTGAAATTTGACATTATCGTGGTAAAATACTACACCTGTTTTGTTGATCAATTCTGGCTGCCTTTTCTGTTTGATGATATTACTCAGTTTGTTTACTGGATGGCAGTACATTTTCGAATCAATTGTTAAATTGTCTGGTAAAAGCTCCAAAAAAAATTTCCTTAAAATCCCACCAAAGAGAGCATCTCTCTTTAAGAACATGTGGAACCCATATATCAAGCTTTGAAACGAAACCAATTTGTTTCAAGTAATCATAAACAGTTTAATTTGACAAATTTTATCTCTTAGTGATTTCATGTGTTGTTATTCGGCAGTTTGCTTCAATCAATGCCTTTATTTTGTTTTCATTGGCTTCAACTGGCCATCCAGAATGTGGTGCGTCTTCAATATTGAAATTGCCAGAACGAAATTTTGTAAACCAGTTTTGGCACTGTCATTCTTTCAACACATCATCTCCATACATGTACCACAATTTTTTCCTTGCTTGAACAGCATTTTGATATTTTGGTAATAAAAAAGGAAAATATGCCGAAAATGATGCTTTCGATCTTCCATATTTGATGGGACACAAAAAATAAACAATTGCACAGAATCAAACAAAATTTTTTACAAATAAGACTTAAAATGCTAGCTATCAAAATATACAATGATAACATGGTTTAGAATGAAAATGGTGGGAAAAATACGACTAATCTGTCTAGTGGTAAAAAAACAAACTTACTTTCTGAACAATCTTAATATATACAAATAAAAATTACATGCAGATTAAAAATAATCAAATACTTTCAAAATTATAAATTAACTCATCTTTAAATTTGCCATTTACTTATGTGCAAGTATAAGTAAATGGTGTGATATTTTTCTGTACTGACTTACATTACAGATACTTATCAACTTACAAGATGTCTATGATCTAATACATTTGTGTGTTGAAATTGTCTAAAAGAAAAGGAAGGAAAGAAGCAATGTTTTAAAAAACGCAATAAAAACAGAAAATAGCAGCAGCAAAAGCAACTGCTAGTAATTGCACATTAGCATAAAATCTTAGCTCAACAGTTCCCAAAGTGTGTGCTGTGGAGCTCCAGGGGTGCCACAAAATATAAAATTTTTCTCATTTTACTTCCATTTTCAATTCAATGTGATAAGATGCAACATCTAGCAGACTTGGTGCAAATCATTAACTCAGTAATAAAGATGGCACATAGAATTGCAAAATGTAAAAAGTTTTATTCTACCGGCTGCTGTAGGATATGGTGAATATTATGATCGATGAGTCTGCTGGGAAACAGTTTCCAAAAGTGCCTTTGTCCAATAACACTATCAGTTGCAGAATACAGCACATAACAGACCTCTAATGTTCAGTTAATTGAAAAAATAAAAGGAAAGGAATTTGGGTTGCAGCTGGATGATTACACAGATAATAATGATGCTCACTTAATTTGCTATGTACAGTTTATAGATAGTAATAACATTGTAGAAGACTTTTCCTTTTGTAAAAGTATCACTGCTGGTGCTAAGGCTCAGGGCTTGTTCAAGATCCTTGATATTTTTATATCAAAAATAATTTAAAATGGACCAAATGCATTGGTATCTGTATTGATGGTGCTCGTTCTATGTCCAAGTGTTATGGAGGATTGCAATCATTTTTTTCTAAATAAATACCCTGATGCATTGTGGACCCATTATGTTATTGACAAGGAAGCACTCACATCAAAATATCTGTCCTATATTGAACCAGGTCTTAGAATATGTATTAAATGTAGTAAACTTTATAAAAATTTGGCCGTTGAAGGCAAAAGTTTTCAAAAAACTATGTGAGGATATAAGATCCGAGCACATGTCTTTATTGTACTATAGCATTTTGAAAAAGTACAAAACATTACAAGAGAGCGATAGCTCTCTCCAGGTAATGTTTTGTCTCATATGTTTGAACTGCAAAGGATATTTATATTTTTCTTAAAGAGGGAGACCACAAGTATGCCAAAAATTTTGTGAATGAAGATTTTTTAGTAAAACTAGCATACTTATGAGATTTTTTTGAAGAGCTGAATGCTCGGAATCTTTCCCTGCAGGGAAGCAACATGTGCCTTTTAAAGTCGATTGAGAAAATTTCAGCTTTTATAAAAAAATTAAAACTATGGAAAAGAAAAATAAATGAAGACAGAGGAAAAAATGTTTTCCTTTGTTGCAACAGTTTTTGACCTCCAATGGAGTTGATTTCTCTCTAGGTATGAAATTATTTTTGAAGAACATTTATCACCTGATTTGGGAAATATTTTCAAAATGATCATATCAATAAATTTGCATAGATTCAAGATCCATTTAATGCCAGTGCCATATCTGAGTTTACTACTGCATAAAAAGAGAATCTTATTGAGTTGTCTTGCGACAATATGTTGAAAACAAAATTTAGCAGTATGGAATTAACTGAATTTTGGATATCAGTAAAAGATGAATATTCCTTCTGAGTAATAAAGCTCAAAGAATCTTAATTCCATTTGCAACTTCTTTTTTGTGCAAAGCTGAGTTTGTTGCCATGATAAAAACTAAGCATTCCATGAAAATCAATGTGAAGAAGGAAATGAGAGTGGCTGTATCCAGTTTGATTCCAAGATTTGAGAAAATGTGCCATGATCAACAGCTTGTCCATCCCACTAATCATAATTAATTGAATTTGTTCAATTACATTTTTTTGTTATCTTAAATATGTCTTTTATTTATTTTTTACTTAATGTCCTGACTATTTAATTAAAAACAATATTGGCTATTTTGCTATTTCGCAAATTGTACTTGTTAGAATTTGACACAGGACATCTTAGAAAAATTTAGATTTAGCAAGAGTGCCAAGAATCAAAAAGTTTGGGAACCACTGTCTTAGCCAATTGAATTAAATAGTTCCATTCAAACAACCAATATAGATATGCAAAAACCTCATTATATATTGAATGTTAAGTCTGAAAATACACATATTTTCAGACTGAACCCATCATTAATGGTTCATTGATTAATTTATCTGAGTAACTAAAGTGGCTAGTTTAGCTTTACTTTCAAGTAGAAGATATTTCTATGTAATTTTTTTTTTCTATTTGAAATGTCTAAAATCTAATCCTCAATTGCCCTAGATATATTATAGTATCATTAATTAATTAATGAACTGTTTAACATTACTGTAATTACTATTTCAATAATTGAATTTTAACAGTTCAAGTAAAACAATGGTACACAACATTATTTGTGTGAAAAGTGTGAAAATCAAAACAGTAAAAAACACAAAACAGAAGCAAATATTAATAAAATACAAACAAAACTTTTCAGATATCAACATAACATTTGTTTAATTTTACTGCAAAACAATTTAACATCAAATTTAGTGCACTGTTTTAGTTATTTATTTGTAAACAGTTCAATTTAAGATCAAACTGAAAAATTGTAAATTAAATTTGATTGTACCATATAACCAGGTACCAGATATATTTAATTTGTTATTGGGACAAAAAAATCTGTATTATTGATTCTTTAAACTTAGAAACAAACATGAAGAAAAAAATTGATTCAACTTAACTGTCATGGAAATTAATAAAACTTGATACTAGTATAATATGATTAAAATGCATAACAACATTTAGGAATAATTTAACAGTTTTTTCATAATCAGTTAGTGTTTAAATGTACAAAATGGAGTTTCTTTGGAAACAACAAACATACAGAATAGCCCAAAAATTAGTTAACCAAGGATATTTTACATTGATAACAAGTAAAATAGTTAAAACCACTTTAAAGCTGTTACATATTTATGGTCCACAATTTGATCACTTCAGTTCCATAAAAAAAAAACACAGCATAGTATTTCATTTCGTGCTTATTTATCTAATTTCATTAACTTGTATTACTCTTTTAATGCATCTTTCCCTCAGCCTATGCTGTATGAATACTATACAGCAATGCCCTACGGTGCTGCAGCTTCTTCACAGGGGTGCCACAAAATGTTATAAAACTTTTATAATGTTAGAATTTAATGTACTTGTTAGAACTTGACATAGGAAATGTTGGGAAAATCTGCATTTAGCAAGGACACCTGGAATAAAAAAAGTTTGGGACCACTGCTATACAGTATTAGTATGAAATTAAATTTTTATTATAAGCCTTTATATTTTTTATTCATTATATTGTTAACCTATATGCTTTTCTACTCTATTTTATTTTTCTGAATGTCTTAAAATTTAATGTGTTTAAAAGTAATTTTTACTTGTATAAAGTTTAAAGTATGTTTGAGCTGATATAGTTGGATAACAGACTTTATTCACATTGAATGTTAGCTGAAGCTGTTCAGATCTCAGAATAAAAATATTTGCTGTAATGTTCTAAAATAAGCATTTTTCTTAACTCATTATCCTGGTGCCAAGTTATCATTCAAGTTTCAATAAAATACTCAAACACTATGAAATTAAGGAGTTATTTTATATATTAACACATTCGTGGTGTTACAAGGCACATGCGACCCGTATGGACATGTCTAGTTAGGGCGATAAACATAATTGCTTGTTTTTCCGTGGGGCCGGCACATGTGTTTTGATAACATTATTCTACAAACATC